TTCAGCACCTCCACACACTTCGCCCCCACCACCACACGCCTGCCCATCATACTACCGAGTACCACCACAACAACAGCCCCCAGCAACACTGCCTCCAGAATGCACAGCACCACCCACGAACGCCGCAGCGTCTGCCACCCTGTTGAATGTACGCCCATCGGGCTACTACGACGCGCAGGGGCCCCCTGCCACTTCACCAACAGGACTACCGCCCTGAGCATGACCCCTGGCACGCCGACAGCCACTGACCGCGCGGCAGCTTGATGTTCGGCCACAAGAGCCTCTCGATCCGTTGATGTTTTTCTCTATACCAACAACTCTCTCTACCGACAACTTTCTTCCAACTCAACTGAACCACCCTGTTCATTACACTAATCTTCGGATTGCAGCCATCCACAACGAGGCCTCCACCTGTTTCACTACGCACCACGAAAAAACTGATTGCGACATGTGCTGACAGACATTTACTGTTTTGTACCAGCTGCGCTTTTACTGTGCATTTCAGACTTCACGTTTTCTTCATTGGATTTGCTGGTAGCCAATAGGACTGTTACTCTCACCATGTTTCACATCTTGGATGCACTGTCTTGCCACTCTCCACGCTTTACCTCCCCTTCGCATCGAACTTTTCAGCCTGCTCAAGCAACCACCCGCGATTGTCTTCACTCGAGTTCCAGCCGCTCATCCATCATGGACGCACAATGGCAGCAGTACTACTGGAACCACTATTTGCTCCAACAGCAGCAACATCAGCAGCTAGCCACCACAGAAGCCGCCACCACCCATCCTTCCACAAGCCACCACTCATACAACCCCACTGGCACCTATGGGCCACTCACCCACGCTCTTCGCACACACCAGACTCACCGTACACACCCGTACATGCCACCACCACAGCACACCGCCACAACTGACTCCACCATCACAGCCAGAGTTCCCGCCCCCGCCACCTCCACCACTGCCCACAGCAGCTCCAGTCACTCCACCAGGTTCGTCGTTCAAACACAGTCCACAGCCAGGAGCGGCCGCTGGCTCCGGATCTGCACCTCCACCACCCCACATCCCTTCCCCCAAGCCACCACTCCGGGACTCTTGGCACCAAACTGATCACCATTGGGACGCCAATACACTCCACGGTCACCAGCTCTATCGCACAATACAACCTACCCAATGGTCACGCAAGGCAGGTGTTGCCGGCTTCCAACATTCGACATTTTTCCCTGGCAACTCGCATACCACGGCACGGCCGAGTATACAGCACGCACCCTCAGCCATGGGAAGTACACCGGCTTCATCGCCACTAGGAGTGTGGCCGAATCCTCCAGGAAATCCGGGAGAAACGCCTGGACCTGGACGGCATCGCCGAAACCCTCCACACCAAACAAGGCACCGACATCGCCAGCAAGACAACGCAAGCACGGGCTTTCCACGCCCCTTTGATCAACCTCCTCGTCCAGCAACTCCAATCCCACTCACCGGCACCGGCGGAAGGCACTGCCCTACGGGCACTCAAGAACACCACAGACGAGCTTGCCCGCGCCAAACAGAAGCTCCACAACTTGGGCAATCCCCTCACCCGGCGACCCATCCCACCCAGCACACAAGCCACCCGTCCTGGCTGACGTCCTGCAACCTCCACACCCATCCCTGAAGGACGACGTCCCCGACAGCTGGACCAACACCGACATCCAGCATTGGGTCACCACTTTTGACCCCAATGTCACCACACAACAATTGAAGGAAGCCGCCACTCGCTATGGCCGGCCGCATCAACCGCCTCCCTATCCGCAGTTTGCAACACCTGGTCAGCGTGGGCGCAGCCATCGGCTGCTGACTCGCTATTCTCAGCCAGCAGCAACCCAGCCACACCACCATGCAACATCTCTTCCACCTCCACCGCGCCCTATCCCTTTTGACCCACCACACCCAATACATAGAACGAGCAGAGGCCATCTTTGCGACAGGCCTCATTCACCCCCAACACATCGATCTCAACAATGGCGAAACCGCTTCCGCCAACTCCACATTCTTCCCCATACCTACCACTACCACAACTTTCTTTCCCAGAATTCCGTTTACGTCAAACTCTACTTCAACCCCGTTCCACCACATCGCTGTTACCACCAGCATGGCCACTTCTACGTCGGCTCAACAGCCATTGGCATCCCACACAGAGAACACAACCGCCGCGCCAAGCTCAAACAACTCCAGAACAACATCCCAATTTCGGCAGAACTATCCTTACGCTATTGGCACTCTCACAACAACATTCACCAATACACCACCCTTCAGCTTACATCCCACGACACCTACGATCACGCCTGGATCCAAGCACACCATCATATTGCCAATTGGATGCCCACACTCAACTGGCCTTTCATTTCACACCACCTCAAACTAAAAGCCCAAGGATGGCAATTCACAAAACATCGAGCACACTTTTACTCCAGGTTAGCCACTCACAAACGTCCCTTTCGACGACTACGGCAACGCCAACACACCATCCGAGAACCACACCTTTACACTTCCACCAAACATCACGCTCTCACACTTCTTCGCAACCTCACCAAGCACACAGCCGCCTCCTTTGAAGCAGCCAAACAACTGCGAAGCGGCCGCCATACAGACCTCGAAGTTTACGCCATCCGGCGTATGGCCGCTAATCTCGAAGAACCAGGCCACAGCAGGGCTCTCCACATCATCAACAAAGCCCTCCTTTACCGCAATCTTACACCACCCAAACCGAACATCCCGCTCACAGTGCCTTTCCTGGCGCACGATGACTTTACAAAACACTGCCAACAGTGGCTCCGCACCACCATTCAGCAACACAAACATTTGGCCATTCCCCTCCACCTCCCATCACATCGCCTACGTGAAGCAGCTCGCAAGACCCTACGATCCCAGCTTCACAATCACCGCACCTGGGAGGACACTCTCCACTCACCACCTGATCCAGCAGACCTTTGTTGCGCATGCAACCACCTTCGCAATCTCCTCCAAGATCCAGGCACACCCACCACAGCCGCTACATTCTTACATTGGACCAGCTGCACCTCCCGCCACACCTCAACATCTTCCTCAACGCCAACGTGAACAGCACCTACTACCCCAGCAAGGCCCGTTATTTCCTCACTTTCCAAACGGCCTACACGAAATGGCTCAAGCTTCAAGGGCTACCACCATCCCTTGCACAGCATTTGGAACCTTTCCTCGCGCACCAACGGCGCCTCCACCACACCCATCTCAAACAACAACCCCGTTTTACAGCTCGCTTGCTCCGTCAGCTCCAGGAGTCTCTCGGCCCACACACGGTGCTTCACCATGCTGACCACGAACTACAACAACTCCGGCTGTTCTGCCCCCGCCAATATTTCACCGGTGCCCTGAACACATGGCAACCCCCACCATTTCCCTACCTTACAGTCGCAAACATCCACGACCATCTCAAAGCCACTGTTCCACCCATCCTCCGCACCCGCTACAAGTGGGGCTTCCGCAAGGATTTCAACATTCCTTATGGTGTGGTCCACCTCAAGGAGAAAAAGCAGTGGCAGAAAGGCCGCACCATTATCTCATATTTTCATTCACTCAGTGGCAACCTCCTACGCATCACCAGCCGTGCCCTTGACATTATACTCCAACACCTCTACCCACAGCATCCAGGACAGGCACCACTTCCACTGCTACCTCACCCAAACCCCAGCAGACATCTCCCTGTACGCCACCAACGACGACCTGGTCGGCTTCTTCAACTCGATTCCCCAGCATCGACTGATCGACGCAGTTGACTCCATGATTCACCACTGGCAACAACAGCAATCCACACACACCCTCACAGTGGATGTTGAAGATAGAGGCCACAAACAACCAAACACCCCACACAACGTACCATCCAGACTTCCGACATCACCACCATTGTTGCCTATACACTCAACACCTGCATTTTCCGGGCTTGCAATAACACATACAAGCAAATCCGAGGAGCTGGGATTGGCTCCCAACTCTCTCCAGCCCTATGCAATGTCGCCATCACACTCATTGAACACTCCTGGCACCAGATCCACAACAACTTACTTCAACACACTGACCTACACTTTGCCTACTACCGCTACGTTGACAACCGATTCATTGTTCACAACGAACACTTCCTCCGCCACCCGGCCATGCAAATTCAAACCCTCATCCACCACAACTTCTTTGGAGACCCAGTGGAACTTGAACCTGTTGACGACTTTCACCTCCTGGGCTTCAACATTGACCTACAACAACGTACCATCACCTACATACAACCTTCACAACCCTGGAAAATCAGGGATGCCACCACCGCCGGGAGCCAGCGCTTGGCTCTGTCAGGCCTCCAATCCAGACTTCACACTATCCACAAATACACTTTTCCACCTTCAAGCGCTGAAGCTGCTGCCGCAGAGCTAGTGAGGCTCTATGTCCAAAAAGGACACAACCAAATTGCTTGCAGCCGGTTTTTGAAAGGAAAAAGCGCCGATCACGGCGATCTGTGTGTGCCAACCCCTGGGCCAAGGGTTCACCACCACCACCTTTTCCACCTTCACCACCTTTTCCATCACGACAGGGAGTTTCACAGGCAGGGGCGTGCAGCATCTGTGGTCCACTGCACGCAACGAAGCTACGACCACAGATGGGAAGGGATCAAGGACGCTTGATCCTGTACCTGCCCAAATCTTTGACCAAGCTGTTACTCCACTTTTCCACTTTTTGCTTCCATGGTTCTTGCATGATACTTCCCCAAAACCCTAGTTTCTGCCGATGAGTTGCACCGCTCGTTCGCCACCGCTGAGCTCTGCAGTCACGCACCAACAACTTGTTCAACATTCAAGTGAACTGACTTTCTCGCCATACCGTTCCCTCACCATTTTCGACCTGGGAACTGAGTGTAACTGAATACAATTGTCAGAGTGTGGGTGTGGTATGTGTGCGTATACTATACCTCTGTTTATATACCGCCTATGACGTTGAGCAGCGGCGTAGTTCACGCAGAAATAGTCCAAGTTGGCCATGATCCGTGGAAGCACCTCTTCCGGCTTTGGGACATTGAAGACCTCTCCGGCAGTCTTCCCAATGCAAAGGAACTCAGTGTCCCATTTTCGGATGCGCTTTAGGAAGGACTCCACCTTCTTCAGAAAAATGGCGGAGGACATTTCTCTCTTTCTTAGCCTCTTTCAGAGGGGCCGGGTCAAGAATCTACTTTTGGGCCAAGCTGCAGAATCCAAACAGTGGGGCTGCAGCATCCGCTCTGCGACGTGACAGGTTTCAACTGGTTCAACGCCACCGACTCGTGACGCTGTCCGACCGACGCACTCGGACGCCTTCCCCCGGTCTGGGCCCCGAGGCGTCTGAGCGGTTTCGAGCTTGGGAGCTCGACCTTGGCGCCTCGGTGAGTCGCCACGCGGATGAAAATAAAACGACGGTAATACCTAATAGCTCCTTGCTCCTAGTAGCGATGCCAGGAGCCCCCTAGTAGTTTCTTGCTCCATGTAGCGATGCCCCTTGTTACTAGTAGCTTCTTGTTCCTATATAAGGGCTCTAACCTAATAGCTTCCAACCTACAAGTGATGGCCTCCAACCTAAGGGCGATACAGGGACCCTGGGACCTTGGCATCTTGAAATGTCTTGAAATGCCCTTTTAAGTGGCCTTGCCTTCCTGTTTCTTCACTCCGCATTCTTCACTCCGCTTTGGCTCCGTATACATCGCACAAAATGCATTCTATATCCGACTCACACTTTCTCGGCCAAAAAAAAGCAACCGGCCGAAGCTGTGCCATGAAACGTGCTGGTGCTTTGGCCCCCCCAACATTGTTGACTTAATGCAAAGGGTCTCATATGGGAGATGGGTTCGCATCTCAATTATGCTTGCTTATTGGAGGAGTGTTCTCCAACCAACACATTCTCTAGCAACCTTCTTTCTCTACGTCACACGTGTCTTTCTCGGTTCAACACGCTTAGACCTTCCCAGCCTTTGGAATCTTAAGACTGTGACCTCTTTCCTCCACCTGAGGGCCGGCAGTCCAAATCGGAGGGGTGTAGTACCACTGTAAAAGTAATGGAAAATACACTGCAGTAACTCCGACCATTGTGCGCAAAGAATATTTACATAGATCTATATAGCCACTTCTTGTCACATGAAAAAAGGAAAGCACAAGGAGCTTTCTAAAGTCTTCCAGCTGTGCTGGCTGAGCCAACCTCTGCCACCTGCCGCCATCGCCACCAAAGGCATCACAAAGGCGCCCAACCTGCCTCCAGAAGGAATGCGCAAGCTTTTTATCCAAATGGAAGTGTCATCAATGCATCAAATTGCCGCATCAAAAAGCAACTATCAGTCTATGAGTCCTTGAGCAAGTGGCCCACAAGCTGGCACGGTGTCGAGCGCTGGACCAAAGCCATTCGCGAACTCCTGCAATTTGAGGATCTCCCAGAATGAGCATCACTCCCAAGACAACATGACCTTTGTCAGATAAGTCACATAGTGTGAGGGTTTGCCTATGGAACTGCAAGCTTTTCTATTCCTGAAAAAGCATGAAAAGGCATCATGTCGATATGTCGACCTGCCTTTGGACAACACCTAGGACCTAGGACTTCAAGACACCTTGAAGTTGCATGTGCTTCCGGAGGAAGAGGCCGAAGCCATACCAGTCAGAACCTGGGCGATCTAAAGAAGGTTCCGACGGGGGGGGTTGGAATCTCTGAAGGGGGTATTACTTACTACTGTATGAGACGGGGTGAGAGGGGAAAGAAATTGGAGGAACCCCAGCTTTCGCAAGTCTACCTCCCTGTTTTTACATCAATCATCATCTATCCGGAATCTACCTCCCTCTTGGTCTCTCGATCCATTTCGACCTGTCAATCACTTGGCACCAGGCTTGGGATTTCCAAGCCGTGGCTCCAAGTGCGGCTCTGCGAGGCTTGTGCTTCGCCAGTCGGAAAAAGTCGCCATTCGGTGTCGCCCAACCGGCTTGACCGGTGAGACACCAGCGAGGACAGGTCGCCCAGATGGGCGTTCTGCAGCATTCTCTCTGTGCGCTGCAGAATGCTTCCAAGATCCTCTAGCCACTTTCAGTGGCTTCCACATACGTCGAAGTCGGGTGCAACCTTTCAGCATCAAGGTTCATTCCTTGGGAATCTTCATAGCAAGGCAACCCCACTATCAATGTCCATCTGATATATCTAAAGCTTGTCAGGTTGGTGCTCGATCTTTGAAGTCTATGTCAAGTGCCATTGGTGTTTCCTTTTGAAAGGTTGCTGTGACTGACATGCATGCCCAGCACTTCTCTTGCCATGCGTTTGCATGGCTATAGAGTGCCAATCGCAGCCAAAAATCCTGAGGACTCACAAACCGCACTAACCTCATCCACTTCTACAAAAGCTGCGCAGTTGAATTTACAAATGACGTTAGTGGTCCTAGATCTGCTGCGAGTCGGGCTTTGTCTATACTTTCAAACATTCTGTGAGCAGGTCGGCTCGACATTACGTCTCAGCTTTGTGCTGGCCAATTACTCTTGTGCTCAGGCCTTGAAGTCTTTGTCCAGAAACGCTGCCAACTGGTTGCATGCCTCCATCTGTGCAGCCTGATGTGTGGCTGCCCATCCACCTGTGAATGATCGGTCAAGAAGGGAAATGTGCACTGAAGCCTGAAAAGTGTGGTCCGACTCATTCTTCTCATAGCGCCAGCACCACACGCTCTTGCCGGGAGTCAATTGCTTGGCAAAGATCTTCTGAAGCCTGTTCTGCAAGCGCATCACGGTTGTTTTGCGTTCAAGAAGGTCAGCCTCAGCTTGGGATTTGTGTCCCGGGCTTGTTGGACTGCAAGGGCTTAGGTCCATCTCCTGCGCATGAGCTCTGCCAAGGCCATGTTCTGGAACAACAATTGCCGCAACACGTCGCAATTAAATTGATTGATATTTTGGTTCAGCTGTTCAGAAACTCCTTGATCAAGACTTACTTGGA